GATCCGGGAGAAGGCAGGCTGGCCGGACACGGCAGAGGAGGGCCTGCTGCCTCCACCTTTCGCCCCTTTCCCTGCCAGAGGCTGGAGGCCCCCAAAGTGCTCACTGGCCTGGCTCTGAGGGCGGGTCCCGGCCACCAATGGAGCCCCGGGCGCAGGGGTGGGTTGAGTAACAAGCAGAGTCCGGCCGGGCCAGGGCCAGAGGCCCAGGCTGGGGAGAAACTCGTCCCGGCAGGGCCCGGGGTGCCCCTGACTCCCAGCCCCAGGCCTGATGCAGGCTCTGGAGGTTCAGTGGACACAGGACAGGCGGGCAGGGGCGAGAGGGCCTGTGCCGATGTGGCAGGGAGGGGGGGAAGGAGAGAGTGGATGAGCAGAGCGGGCGGGGCAGTGGCCTCCCCCGCGGTCCAGCTCACACAACAGTCACAGGTCACGGGGCTGGATGGAAGCACACGTGCAAGACAGACAGACAGACAGACAGACGCGCACACTGAGGCCGCCTGGGGGGCCGAGTCAACCCGTGCCGTGGGGCATGGAGCCTGCCCACCTGTCCACCCTGGGGGGCTCCCCGCCCAGCCTAGGAGCCCACGACCTGCCCGGACCACGTCTCGTGGGGAGTGTGTGGGGCCAGCTGGGTGAGCACCACCTCCACGGCCTGGAACTTCTGGTTCTTGGGTGGGATGGGGCACATCTTGTAGGTCACCTCGTCACCCTCCACAGGGACGTAGTCCCCCTCGATGCTGGAGGCAGAAAAGGGGCGTCAGCCAACGGCAGGCCCCACTCCCTGGCACCCCTGCAGCCTGGCCTGAGGACGGCCTAGCCTCCCTCAGCATCTCCGCCCCCTAGTCTGCAACATGGGAAACAAACAACCCCCTCCTCTGTGTTGTCGGGGGATTGAGATGGGAGGCTTTAGAGCACCTGTGTCCTCCCCGGGCCATGCCTGGCATTAGGGCTGGGACACGGGCCTAGCCCCACCTCCCCTCCCAGCCTACCTGCTGCAGGCCTTCCGGTGGCTCATCCAGCGGCTCCCAGAGGGCCCCTCCCCACCTGGCCCAGCCCCGATGGGAGGAGGAGGAGGCCAGGAGCAGGCCTCAGCCAGGGAGGGGAGACTTGGGGAGGCCCTTCTTGAGGCCCTGCTGGGACACCGAAGCCAAGAACAGGGCGACGGGAGGGCCTCAGGGAGATGGGCTGGGGGGCAGGACTCACTCAGACACGTGCACGAAGATGTCCTCTGACCCGTTCTCGGGGGTGATGAAGCCGTGGCCTTGTGAGCGCGAGAACTGCTTGCAGACGCCCTTGAACACGGGGCCGGCCGAGGCGCGGGCTGTCCTAAGGATAGGGTCGGGGGATTGGAGCTGTGGCCTAGGGGTCCCCCGGACCCCCTCAGCCTCCCCAGGCCAGAGCCACACACAGTTAATTCAGTCCTTTCATCATCCCATTGAGAGAAAAGGAGACTGAGGCTGAGAGGGGAACTGGCTCCCCCGGGCACACAGCCAGTGCCCCCCCTGCACAGCGCCCTCACTCCTCACTCTCTCCTGAAGCAATGGCATCCCATCCACTCGTTTCTCACTCACCCCTTCTTCGTTCGTTAAACATCTGCTCTGTGCGGAGCCTTGGGCGGACACAGGAGCCACTCAGCACTTGCCATCAAAACGCTCCTCCTTCAGCCAAGCCAAGGCAGTCTCCCCGAGGGTCCCACAAAGCCCCTCCCTCCTGCACCCCAGCCAGGAACTGTCCCCAAAGGCCCACCCCTCCCCAAGGCCAACCCTATGCCTCCATTTTTGCCCAGGCTGTTTCATCCTTCACCTGATATATCTTCCAAACTCAGCTAAGACGTCACCTTCCCTAATGCCTAATGCCGGTCCTCACTCCCAACCCTGCTGGCGGGAGTGAATGGTGGACCAGTTCCCTTTGCACTGTATGCTGCTTGTGGGATCCAATTCATCACTGGATCCCCTGGTCAGGAGCCCAGTAAATCTTTGTGGAATGAGTGAGTGAATGAATGAATGAATGAATGAACAAACACTAGCAGTTACTGGAAAGTTCATACACAGCTCTCCTGTCCTTGGGAAAGAACAACGGGCTGGAGAAGGAGGGGACAGAAGCCTGGGTGAGGGGCAGGTACTCACGCCGAATACGTCCTGGTCCGTTTGGTGGGCAGGGGACTGGGCAGGTCCCGAGCTGAGACGCCGCCCCGCTCCCAGACCCTGCTGCCCTCCCGTTGGAAGGGGAAGGTGGGCCAGACTGGGGACTTGGGGGAGTGGAGTGGGGGCACGACCGGGGGCGGCGTGGGCTCCGAGGTCATGGTGGGGCCGGCAGGAGAGCCTGGTGGGCTCCTGGGCCCGGGGGCCGGTGAAGGGCTTCGGCGTCCTTGTGGGCAGGGCCCGGCCTGGCCCTGCTCGGCAGCCTCACCAGCCACAGGCTCCGTCTGGAAGGGGAAGAGAGAGGTAGAGGTGAGTGTGCTCCCAGCGGGCAGCTGCCGGGCACGGAGCACAAGTCTGGATGGCTGGGCCTGCCTGCCCGTCTCAGAGTGGCTTCAGGGCACTCACGGCTCTTCTCCGACTCTGTTCTCACCAAAACGACAAAACACTCCTACAACCTTGCTATGGGCTAAACTATTCCCTGAAAATTCGTGTGTTGAAGTCCAACCCCCAGGGTGACGGCATTTAGAGACGGAGCCTTCGGGCGGTAGGAGGGTGAGGCCCCCATGAAGGGGGTTAGTGTCCTTTCAAGAGACCTTGGACACCTTGCTTCCTCTCTCCCTGCCCGTGAGGAAGACGAACCTCGTAGTCCTTCCAGCTTCAAGTTCAGTTCTCTAACCCCAGGGGTCTGGGAGGTGGGGTGGGACAGTGGCCAATGATGGTCAGGAACCCGGTTTGGCACAAGCATCAGCAGTTTCAAATGCCCAGATCCGGGTTTGGATCTCAGCTCTGTCGTTTGTAACGTGGTGACCTCAGTTCCAATAGGGTGGGTGGTGTGTGGGCTCTGGGCTTGAATCTTGGCTTCTCTACCTATGGGCTGGGAGGCCTTGGTCAACACTCCTCACTTTCGGCTCCGTTTCCTACTCTGTACAGTGGGGATAGTGTTGGTTACTACTTTATAGAGAGTTTGCTGTAAGGATCACATGACTGCTACACACGTAGGACAGTTCAAGGGCATGGTGAGCTCTTGGGAAGGTGGAGCTTTTTCCTGAGCCCCGTTTCTTCCTCTCTAAAATGAGACAGAACTTACCACGCAGGGTTGCTGAGGACTCAATGGTGTAGTGTATGTGACAACATCTGGCACTTGTAGATAGCCAGTAAATTGCTACTACCAATGCTAATCAATAGAAGTTCCCACACCAATAGCTGTGTCTAGATGACCTTGAAATAATTCATCCTGTAGTTTCCTCTACTGAGGAAGAGAACACAGTTTCCCTACCCACACGCCTACCTGCCCACCCTCCCGCCAGGGTTGGGAAATATTGGACCCCAAGAGGCGCTGCCGTGGAACCCTGGGCAGAAAAGCACCGTGCACCGAGCCAGGCTGTTGACGGAGCTGGGTCAGGCGCTGGCACATGGGGCCGGGGGTGCCTGGATGGAAGAGCTCCAGCTCAGCTCGGTATCAGCTACTGACCTTGGGTAGCACTTGCACTGGCCTCGGCTTCCTGATCTGTACAATGGAACTGATAACCCAGCCTCACCCCTCACAGGCTATGGGGGGGCTTGGCTAAGCCTGGGATATAGAGATCATCCCGGAGTCCTCATCCCCTTCCTTCACGCCCCCACCCCTCACCCAGATGCCCGGGGTCAGAGGTGAACCCTGAGCTGCAAGTCTGTTTCTGGTCTCCATATTGCCCCGCCCCCAGCTTGGTGTTAACCTGCATATTGCACCGCCCCGCCCGCTCTGCTCGTCCGCTCTCTCCTTCCTTCCTCCCCTCCCTGCCAGTTTCCGGGGAAGGGTTTAAGGCAGTGGTTCTCAACCTGTGGGTCGCGACCCTTTGGGGGTCAAACGACCCTTTCACAGGGGTCGCCTAAGACCATCAGAAAACACATATATAATTACGTATTGTTTTTGTGATTAATCACTATGCTTTAATTATGTTCAATTTGTAACAATGAAAATACATCCTGCATATCAGATATTCACATTACGATTCATAACAGTAGCAACATTACAGTTTTGAAGTAGCAACGAAAATAATTTTATGGTTGGGGGTCACCACACCATGAGGAACTGTATTAAAGGGTCGCGGCATTAGGAAGGTTGAGAACCACCTTAAACCACCTGCCACCTCGCCCAGGTGAAGTGGGGACCCCCAGGAGTGTTCTGCAGAGCCTGGCATCTCCTGCCCTCCTGGCGGCCACCATGGGGATCTTAGCTGCCTGCCCGTCTTCCTTTTGGGCAACAGCTTTGTTGAGCTGTAACTCACATGCCCTGTAACTCGCCGGCTTCATTAAGGCGGACAAGCACATGGTTTGGGTATATTCACAGTCGTGTGACATCACCACAGTCCATTTTAGGACATTTCCATCACCCCAACAAGCAGCTCCGTACCGTTAGCCGGTTTAAGGCTTCTTTTTTTGTTTGTTTGCTTGTTCTGTTTTGTTAATCTCACCCAAGGATATTTTTCCATTGATTTTTTTTTTTTTTGAGAGAAAGAATGGAAGGGAGGGAAGGAGAGAGAAACATTGACGTGAGGGAGACATATTGATTAATTGCCTCCCACATGAGCTCCAACCGGGGCTGGGATCAAACCTGCAACCCAGGTCTGTACCCTTGACTGGAAATCGAACCCACCACTCTCAGGTGTGTGGGTGACGCTCTAACCACTGGCCAGGGAAAGGCTTCTTAGGGGTCCAGAGACCAGGAAGCCCCCAAAACACTGCCTGGCAGGACGGGAAGAGCGAGGAGTCACTCATTCAACCCCCATCCCTGGAGCAGGCCTCTGGCGGCTGTTCAAGGTCACACAGCAAGCGGGGTGTTTCTGGGTCAAGATAATGAGCTGGTTCTGCCATCGCGGGGGGTGGGGTGAGACTCCCTGCTCACGGTCCCTCAAGCTGAGCTCACTCCAGGAGGCGGGAGTGGGCCCGGTTTGGCATTGTTATCCCCATTTTAGCGAGAAGAAAACGGAAGCTTCCAGAAGAGAAGCCATCACACGAAAACCTGTGCCCGAATGTTCACGGCAGCATTCTTCCTAACAGCCAGAAAGTGGAAACAACCCAAAGATCCACCAACTGGTGAACGGATGGGCGAAACGTAGTGCAGCCACATAGAATGTGATTCCGCCAGAAGAAGGATGAGGTGCCGACACACACGCATCACAGATGGACCCGGAGTCACTGTGCTGGTGGGAGAAGCCAGACACAAGAGACCGCACAGCACAGGGCTCCATCCATGAGAACTGTCCAGCTCAGGCGGTTCCGGAGACAGAGAGCAGGGGAGTGTCTGCCAGGGGCTGGGGAGGGCCGCGTGGGAGTGACGGCTAACGGTACGGAGCTGCTTGTTGGGGTGATGGAAATGTCCTAAAATGGACTGTGGTGATGTCACACGACTGTGAATATACCCAAACCATGTGCTTGTCCGCCCTAATGAAGCCGGCGAGTTACAGGGCATGTGAGTTATAGCTCAACAAAGCTGTTGCCCAAAAGGAAGACGGGCAGGCAGCTAAGATCCCCATGGTGGCCGCCAGGAGGGCAGGAGATGCCAGGCTCTGCAGCACACTCCTGGGGGTCCCCACTTCACCTGGGCGAGGTGGCAGGTGGTGGGACAGCTCCGCCTCCCTCTCCCGGGAGCAGGGAGGCCCTGCCCAGCGCACAGCTTTCCCAGGCCTGGCATGGCGCTTGGTGGTCCTGGGAAGGGCAGAGGCAGCCACCGCGGTTACCAGGGAGACGCAGCTGAGCTGGGCCAGCTCTAGCCAGCCAGGCCTCCCAGCCAAGGCCGAGCGAGCATGGCTCCCAGGCGGTGGGAAGGGGGAAGATGAGCTGATTATCCAGGGTTCGCCTTGATAGGAGGGCAGCCCTTCTCCTTCTCCTTCCCCTCCCCAACAGGGGCTCCCCAAAATGGACCAGCAGCATCCAGCCCCCACAGGACGTAACTGAGGCTGCTCCCCAACTACATCCCCCACCCAGGGGGCACCCTTGAGAGAAAGCAGGGCGTCTGCTCAGGGCGGGAGGGGCAGCGAGGCAACCTCTCCAGGCCCTCCCCCCATCTCCTTCCTCTTCTGGCACCTGGGGTTGCAGGACTCCCTCCTTCCAGAGCTCCCAGGAGGAAGGGATGGATTGGAACGTGGGAGGATGCTGAGTGAGAGGTTGCTCCTCCCAGGCAGGACTGCAAACTGGGCGTGGGGGGCAGAGACCCAGCTGAGCGGAGCCAAGCCCACCTTTCACTCTCCTCCCCCTGCCTCCCAGGGACTGGCTCGTCCACTAGATCCTGCCCCGCCCTTCCTCACTTATCCTTTTTATTAAATTCCTGCAATGGAACTTGAAGGCCGGTGCTATCATTACCCCATTTTGTAGGTGAGAAAACTGAGGCCCAGAGAGGCCACACGGCAATGAATGTCCGAGCCAGGACTCAAACCAGGGCGAGCTGACTCTGCAGCCTGGGGTAGGAAGTCAGGGGTCCTGGGTCTGGGCCCTGCATTGCGACTGACGTGCTCTGTGACCTTAGACAGAACCTTTCCCACTCTGGGCCCTGCCAGAGCCCAGAACTTGAAGGAGCTGCACATGCCCAGCGGCCTACGAGACCAGGGAGAAGGGATGCAGAGCAAGGCTCGGGTTCAGATCCCTTCTCCACGTGCTGCTGCAGAAAGGGGCGGGTAAAGACGGCGCTTTTATTGTCTCAATACCATACATCTGCCAAAGTCTTTTCAGAGACGACTTTTCATTTTTCAACTTTCCAGTCGCCCTGGAAGGTTGAAATTAGAATTGTTTCCATTTTATAGCTAAGAAAGCTGAGGCTCAGAGAGGTTAGGTGACTTGCCCGAGATCACACAGCAGATAAGCAGCAGAACCCAGATTCCTCTGAAGGTAAACAGTACACTTCTTGTGAGGATAAATTCTGTTCCTAGATCAGCCAAGACGAGGCTGGAGTTTTCTCAAAGGAACTTTTCCTGAGAAACTAAAGGGGAAAATAACTGCTCCAAGAGCAGAGAAACACATGTGTCTGGAGAACATTTGTTCCAACTCAAGCCCAGCTCCCAGTGCCTCAGTGTGCCCATCTGGGACATCTCCTGCCTGGAATAATGCTCTGAAGATGGCAGTCTGAGCATGAGAGGAGAGCGCAGGCCCCAGAAGTCCCTGAGTGCCCTACTGATTGACCCCCCCTGCCCCCCCAAGTCCCCGCTTTCTGAGGCTGTTTCCTCATCTGTCAAACAGGCTAATCAGCGTCCCCGGCCGCAGTTACGGGAGGGGGGCGGGGCTGTGAAGGGGC